GGCCGCACCACAGGACCAGTCTCATGGTGTTTCTCGCTTTCTTCTGAATCTGTAGAGTGCCGGTGGTGGTCCCTGACATTGGCAGCTGCAGTCAACCGGCTTGTTTTTCTCGATCTGAAGCTGTTGTAAGCTTGAACTTCAGGTCGTGGAAAGATCGAAGCTGTCGCGTCGCGTCGCGGGATTGGAGCCTGGACATTGGTAGCCGTGTGGGCAACAGGCAACAGGCAGGCTGCTCGATGCAAGTCGAAACCGACCCCTGCAAAGCACAAGCGCAGCCGCTGACCGATTGGTATGCTGGTGCTGCTCCATCCTCCGTCGGTCTGGCGCAGTCTATGAAAAGCGTGGCACGCAAGCTGCGTGGGAAGGTTCCTGCAGTGTAACCGCGTGTGCCTCCTAAGGGTGAAACAAGGAATGCGCAAAGAGGCGTCTGCATCTCCAGCTCCACGCCATCTCCAGCGCAGGCTTGTTCAAGTGAACTAAGCAGCAGCCTCTCTAGCGTGTTGCAGTCATAACTGGCAAGTTGCTCACCAACCTCGCCAACCGGAGGAATTCACAGAAAGTCAAGAGTTGTCCTTGACGACCTGACACTTCTTAATTGCACCACTTCCGTTCAGTGGCACCAGGCACCAGCACAGCACGACCATCATACCGTTGTCGTTTCCGCGCTCTGCGTGTGGTGCTGAACATGTGGTGTGTCCCTTGGCAAGCAGCTTCGCTGCGCCAGGCGACCATTGATGTATGTAAACAAGATCGCTTTGCCGGCTGTAGCGCTTCCGAAAGAGTGCCGGGTTGATGGTAGTTGTGATGATGACGGAAATCACCAGCAAGTAAAGTGTGCACGAGATCTCTAAATGGAAAGGTCATCCATGGCTTTTCTTTCTGAAGAATCTACTCATGTATCGCCCTGCTAAACTTCGATTTAAGCCTTTCAACTTTACGGCTGAAAATCTGGAATATCTGTGCTCTTTGCGGTTCGGCAGCTATCTCCTTTGGGCGGCTTGGCTTCGTTAGCTTCCATTTGGCATGCTCTTTCACTTGCGTGTGCTTCGCGGGATTTGTTGCAGTTTGATGTGGTCTGATGTTGATGACGGCCACTTAGTGTCAGGATCATCGGTCCACAGTCTACAGGTTCCCCAGGCCAGCTCTGGCTCTTCTTGGCTTGTTACTTGTTGGTCTTCAGCTATTATCCACAGTTCATTTCCTTCAGGGGTTTGGGGTCAGATAGCCAGGACAATTACAGAAAGGAAGGAGGACCGGAACACCCCCCCCTCCACACCCACACCCACCCACTCACCCACCCACCCACCCACCCACACACACACACACACAGACAGACAGAGCCACACACACACACACACACTCAGACAAACGCAAACGATAGTTCTAGAGACCAGAATGGAACAAGAACAAAGATTCCAACCCACTGGCAAAACCGGAAAAAGGAACACTGGCAGGGCACAGAAGCCAGGGGCCAACAAACCAACGACGACACCCCACAGGACCACAAAGCACACAGCCCCGGTCTTGCTTTCCAGCTTCTTGGAGTGGTGCGGGGAGGTTGCGAGATTGCTTGAGGGACAGTGTTTCAGCTTCGAGCTTGCCAGGCTGGAGTTTCACGCAAGTTTTCGGAATGAAGACCTTAAGGCTTAAGGATTCGATCAAACGAACGAGCCGTAAGTATGTCTTCTGCAAAACAGCGTATCGACCCTGCATTACGCGACAATGGTGTTGTAGGAGCTGTTGATAGCAGCAATGCGAAACACTCAGGTTCCTTAGCCGCTGCTCCACAGTGAGCACCACGGCGGAGCACCTGCAAGAACTCGGTGTCGGCAAAAGCAAACTCAAGCTTCAGCAGGCCTTACCTTGGGTTCAGATCGTCTGAACGAGCCATGAACCGAGTCCTGCCAGCACTGTCGGTTGGATCCGCTGCAGGCTGAGATTGAGAGCAGGCAGCGGGTTGTCATGCATGCATGCTCTATGTAGCAGGCCCTAGCAGCGTGGACCGTGGGTTGGTAGGTGCAAGGTGGTCCATGGCTAGCATTGCTCGTCTAGAGTCCACCAGGAAGAGGGCAATGCAGAACTTCTTGCGATCCCTTCCCCAGCGCTCCTGGCCCGAGCTGCACCGGCTGCGCCAGAGCGCGTAGGAATCATAAGCAATGCATGAGCTGAGGTGAAGGAATGATCGAGTTCCAAAGTGTGCAAGATATCATATCCATCACTGTGGCGTGTCTCCATCAACTCAGCCCAGACACGAAAACCGTCTTGCAGCCGCAAGGGTGAGACTTGCCGGTCATGTTTGCAGAGCCTTGGGATGCTCGCCCAGTCCAGGGCCGGTAGACTTCTTAGAGGAAGGATGGAATTGCTTTGACGGACGGTACGAGCCCGAACGAAGACTTCCGCCGGACGCTTCTTCCGCGAGGGGACTGCCGGGGCGGGCAGGGAGATGCCACCAGCGTACCGCTTCTTTCCACTGTCGGCTGTCCGAATCTCCAGAGGATGCCGTGCCCTCTGAAGGCAGAGCGGGGCGGTTCAATAGGTGGTTTCTTATGAGCTCAGAAAACCCTAGATTCGCTGCGCAGGCACACAGTCCCGCAGCTTTGACAACGGCTCGATGTCAGCGAATGCAGAAACAATTGAAATAATACCCCTGGGACATAAGCTGACAGGCTCAACATGCATCCACCCTCACCAAAAGGCCACGCATCGAGGAAGTCACGTCATGCAAAGCATGTTTGCACCGAATCCCAGCTGACATGTGCCGCGACGAAAATGCTCACTTGGCGTGGCAGCTTGGATGTGTCAGGCCGGACACTGATTGGATCGTAAACATCATATTTCGACAGTGCCCATCTGAGTCACTGGAACTGCGACTTGCCATAGGACCATAGGACCCGCAATAAAAACAAGTCCGATCTTGCACAGTTTCTTCGCGGTGAACACGCCTCAACGCCCTAGTTGTCCGAAACCATTTCCGATGCGTCATGAAGACGTCGGCTTTCAGTTCGGTGGGAGGACGGACACTGCGGCCAAAAAACTAGCCCCTTCTCGGGCGAAGTGGTACCGGAGACGCTATCCACAAGGACTTGGAAGCTTGGCCGCTGCGATTCGGACACGAGCACGCGAAGCCCGGTAACTCCATATTCCCCAACCCAGGGCGCTCGAGAACCACAACACTACAAATTCGGGATCAGCATCCATGACCGCTGTATGGCTTTGCTACTGTCTGAATGCTTGGTTATCGGCCAGAAGCCGCTCACTATTCCCAAGGTCCACTCTCACGACACAGCACTAGGTAGCTCATCGCCATCCACAGTGGTCAGAAGCCTGTCAAGAGAGGAGCCAGCCAGGTCGGAACATGTGTGACGCATCCCGAATCGCACCTTTGCCTGGCACAGGATCTCGCCAAACCTAGGCGGCTGCTGCTTGCACAAACTAGATGTCAGACTGGGTACAGCCCTCTTGCAGGCCTGAGCATCCTAGGTCAGCCTTCCACCGACTTCATCCGCACTAATGACTACAGTAGTGAGTGACCCTGCCTCGGTGATGCGTGCCTGTATGTTTGTGTAACTGGAAATTGGCAGTGTGGTAGGGATAGAGAGATAGAGAGTATAAGGACTCTCAAACTGTGCACGTGCCAGCCGATCTTTTCTCTATCTGCAAGTTCCATGGCGTGCGGCTGTGCTTGGGACCTCAAGCCCGGTGTGTGCAGGGGAATTCGCATCTCAGCGGAGGAACATTGGCGATCGACAGAGATTCTCTAGAGTCTAGAGCGTGGAAATGACATCGATTTCAAAAATGGACATGTTTCAGCGAAACATCGGCCGGCGCCAATCTCTTTCGAAGATGCGAAACAAAGAAGTCTAAAGCTGTTCTGTGTCTTGCACTGCAAACGGTGTGGGACTGGGCATAGAACAACCAATAACTCAGCACTTGCAACGGATCGCGCGCCGCGACCTTTAAGCAAGCTTGACGCAGGAATGTGGACGATTGCAAGGATTAGAACAAACTGTGGATATAACGTCGACAGCAGGTGCAGCATACATCTGGCAATCTCAGGGTCTGCAGCTTGGATTGTGACGCTGGCAGGTGGTCTTCCTCCGACTCCAACCTCCAGCTCGCACACTTCTCGAAGAATACATGATCTGAACGGGACCATATGGAGCTGACATGTACTTCGAGATAAGAGCCACACCCCGGCAAGGACGGGGCGCTTCTTGTGTGCGCTAAAAATGGTCCTTGCAACGTTCGGGGGCTCCAAGCGACAATCTCGGAACGCTAGATGTCATCTATTTATTTGTTAAAGCTGCACAGGAAAACATCTCCTGCCATCGCGGCCTGGCCCGACACCCTGCACCTGCGCCGCGCAAGCAGGTCTCTTGGCCAACACGTGACTTGCCTTGTGCCAGGTGGATGGTCTGCTTAGCCGTGCTTTCGCATTTTCTTGGGCCGCCGTCTTGCACCCCTGTCGCAGCGATCCAGCTAAAGTCGTGGCTAATTTGCTCGCTTCCGCCCTGATCCACAGAACGGCGCCTGGTGATCAGCTACATGACGTCAGCAGTGCGTTCTGACAAGCGAAAGGCTCTAATCTTCCTTGGCACTGCATGGTGGGCCAGTGTGGTGCATATGGACTCTGCCCCTCCAAGTAGTGATCGGCGCACACGTGGTCCACAGCATCCATTTATCGAAAAGAATACGATGTTGCAAGCCACTACACTACAATGTAGGTGATGTAGCTGAAAAATTAGAGCACTGGGCCAGCTCACAAACCTTCGAATGGAATGCAATGAATCATCAATGAAATGAATTCTGGGGCTGAATCACAGTGTGCACGCCCACATTCGAAAGCATTGCTCGAACTCCTCCGGCGTTGTCGCACAACAGATTTCCAGGAGACTTCATGCCTCGGGAGCGTTCCGCTGTGTTGCGTCCGGTCTCAACCGCAGGTGTACGGACTGCATGATCTGACAGAAGACTTGTGCCAAAACCCGCCTCGACGGCATTTATGGTGAAGACTCCGGATGGACAGGGAAGGACAAGTCCCAAAAGCCTCACCCATGTCACGGTCAGACATGCCAATGCAGACATGTGCTACATGAAGCTACTGTGCTCCGCAGTGCTCAGCAAAGAGAAACACTGCAAAAGAAGAGTCTCACAGGTCACACAGCAAGTGCCTGCCTGGAGGAGTGTTGGTGGGTGCATGCTCGGATCGGTGCCTCGAGGACTTTAGACCTGAGCCCATTCCCGCTGCCGCGTAGAAGCGGCGGCACATCTCGCAGTCGTGCCCTGGCAGGGCCAGTCTCTGCTCCTTCCCGCGAACCACGCAGCGGCACAGCGCGCCAGAAGTTGGCTGCATAGCAGATGGAGCAGCACTCTGCCCTTCCGCACGAACCTGTGGTTCAAAGGAGCGGGAACTTGTCCGGCCAACCGTGTAGACAGCAGGCTCTTCACGTCGTTCTGCATCGGCAGGTGGGTTCCATGCCACAACTGCATTGGTAGCCTCGGTCGGCGGCTGTATTGGTTCCCATATTCGAAGGCCAGCTATTTGCCGCAATTCCTTCAGAGATTCTCTCTGCCTCTGGTCAGGCTTGGCATCTTGGCCGCCCGTCTCGAGCACTTCTAGCGGCCTGCAATTCTTTCCATTTCTGGGATCCACCACGTTCGCCGTGATGTTGGGCCCCACTGGCGATGGTCTCGCGCTTTTCTCAGCATCTCGGCATGTGGTTGGGGCAGAGCTTGCGGCGGAACCAGGCCCTGGAAGCTCGGGGCTCCTTGGCTCCTCCGCAGAACTGCAAGCCGCACTCTCTCCTTCTTCTGCTTGTTCTCTCCCTCCGTCTCGCTGTCTCTCTATTTGCTTCGCTCAGAGCAGAGGGCCATCATCTGGATCTGGTTCGGGCGACTCTGCCTGTCTTTCTTTCGCAAGGGTACAGGATCGGGGAGCTACCCCCACCCCCACACTTTAGGGAAGCGCGCTGGTAGACGCAACGGCCTCGGAGGCAACATCGAACTCTTATGCTGGTTACTCGTTCTCCTGTTGAAACGATCACGTGATAACAAGCCGACCAAATCCGTTCTCGTGTGTGTGAGAGAGAGAGAGGAAGAGACAGAAAGAGAGATGTACTGTGTGATCTCTCGCAGTCGCAGGCGTCGCGGGTCCTGCTGTCTCAAGTGGCTGATGGCGCGGGCAGCCCTATCTTCTTGCTTGGGCTCTTCTTGGCCAGCTCGCGGCTTGCCTGGCACAATGGAAGCTGGACATCGGCCATGTTCACAATCTTTCAAGCTTACCTGCAATCTCAAACCAGCGCGAGAGACGGGGCGAAGACGTAGGGCCCGAGGCCTCCAAGGAGATAACTGTGCCAACGCGATGCTAGTAGCGTTCTGCCACACCTAGACCTAGACTTCGAGTTACAACTGTAAGATTTCAAGAATCCTACGAGGAGCCACTTAGCCTCTTCTGGCAGGGGATCTTGGCAACGAACCAAACGACGGCGCTTGCTGCCTCAGGTGGCTAGCAACCCGTGACCAGTCCTTGAGCCAGTAATTCTGGTGATGCCGACCTACCTCGACTTGGTCTCCTGTCTGACCTTCGCAGCTCTTCGATCGTGGCCGCATACTTCCTGATCTTGCCCTGCAGCTTGAAAGGCAGTTTGTGTTGTGCTTGTGACGACGAATTCAAAAGATAAGTCTTTTTGCACGCTGTGGTGCAGTAGGCCTTGAAGTCCGAAACCTGACTTGCGAGCGGTCTCATCTGGAGCAGCTTGACCTTTTGGAATGCTCCGTGTGTCTCTGTCTTGCGGCTTCTTAGGCCATGTTTGAGAACTGGTCTCGGCATGTATGTTGCGGACCCACCTGCCCGATTCTGTATTGTTTGGCAAATGTGCACGGTGGTCGGATCCAACGCACGCCGAATTGAAAAAAGCCTCCAAAGAGTATCGAGGTTCGTGAAAACATTATCCTTGCATGATGCATGGGAAGGGGGTTGCAGCATCTTGATATTCTTGCAGCCTGCTTCTCCGCAAGGCGGCTGTGGCTGGCATGTCCCTTGGACACTTCTCGCTCGCGCTTTATTGGCGGCCCTTCTTGCAAGCAGAAGCAGCAGCAGCGGCGGCACCAGCAGCAAGAGCAAGCACTGCCACCACCAACAACAACAACAACAACCACAACCACAACCACAACCACAACAACAACAACAACAACAACAACAACAACAACAACAACAACAACAACACACCATCAACAAACCAACACTGCCACCAACAACGCCACCAACAATGCCACCAACGTTTGCACCACCAAAAACACCGCCAACAGCACCAGCACCCCTACCGCGACGGCGACCCAACAACCACAACCACCGGAAGGACAAGGACAACAACGACAAGCGACAAACAAGGTCATGCCGCCACTGCTGACCCGATGGATTTGGTGCGAGGAATCGTGTATTTTGCCCGCCGATACCAGCATTCATAGCCAAAAGGTGTTTTGAACATGTGTCTCGCAACATGCGGCATGCAGAGGCTCAATAGGCTGTGACCCCCCGAAGACCCTGCTGAAAGTCGAAGCACCAAGATTTGAAAGCATACTTTGTATGTTTTCATTTCGAAGGCCAGTGGTTGTGGCACGTGGTTTTCGTGGAGCATTTTTGGGCGGGTGTGGGAAAGTGTCGCACCTAACCGTGGTTTTCTAACATTTCATTTTTCTGGTCCGCCGCTTGGGGTAGGGATTGTTGCTGGCTTGTGGTTCGTGCTGCAGGGGTTAAGAAAATATTGACTTAGTGTGGGTTTCGACGAACTGTGCCGTTGACGTTGGGTGAATGCAGTTCGGCAGCGGAAAAAATAGCAAGCAGGCAGGAAAGGCAGCAACGCGAAAGCAGATCAACAAACAGGACAGAAGAGAAACCCTGACTTGCATGGATGTCATCATCCCATATTCCCACCCAGGCCCTAAAGCATTAAATCCAGCAGAAACACAAACAAAGACCATCCCAAAATGCCAAACAGTGTGAATGCCGACCACTTTTTGGACCCTCTCCACACAAGTGTCGGATCTGCTACATGCCGAAAAACGAGTTTTGGCACATCGCAGGCCTGAAATCGACATACCTTGCGCGGCGGCATTTGCACTATATGACAACGAACACAACCACACGACGACGACGACGACGAGAGGCTGCTGCGGCTGATAGCATGAACATCACTGTCAGCAGGCAGTCTCTTGAAAGTGCCACTGCTCATCTGTCTGTTCAGATTTGCATGTACGGGTGGGGGTGGCCGCGAACCCGAATTGCAGTGAGCAACAGGCTTTGAGCTGCTCGTTCTCTTCGACTGCCTCTTCCAATTCCCTGAGAGATCTCTGCAGGCATGAGCCCAGTGACTCGCCGAGCTGCACCCACCCCGGCCTCTCCCATAGTTCAGCCTGCTCTTGTGCAGCCTCCAGAACACGGACATCAGGCACTTGAGATTGCATGCCAGGGCTCCATTTGACAGCAGACACTCATGTGACTGCGCTTCAGTGCAGCACTGCTTTTTCTATCGAAGGTCGCCCAAAACTTGGCCCTCCACGTGCAGCCGACAGGTGGAGGTTATGCGCACCAGCGCGCTGCGACCCAGGAGCGCATCGTCGCGAGGTACGAGAACTTTGGCGAAGGTCTTGGTGCGACCTACGGTCTGCCCCTGCTCGCTCTTGGACCGCTCCTCCTCGGTATCCGCAAACCATACGCGCTCTTCGCGACCCAGCAGGCCCTCGTTCCGATTGGTGGAAGTGACCAGCTCGGCAAGCTCTCGATAGCGTTCTTTGCCAACATGGCTTTTTAAGGGCTTCAGATGCGCAGCCGCTGTTCCAGGCCGTGCATAAAATTGCCTGGAAGGGAGATGGCAGGAAGCAGCGGCTTGGACCACGAAGATGGAAGGGAGAGTTCGAGAGCATCCTAAGGCCCCGGAAAGGAGTTAAGTCGTCAAGTCATGTCAATGTGTCCGTCCCCAACCCAAGAGAGTGATGCAAGACCATAGCAATTCCTGAGTGCTCCGCGCTCCACACCTCGCACGCGCACCGCCGGCGTAACGCTGCCTGACCTCCCCTCAAATCCGTACTCTCCACAGCGAGATCCCCCCTGCCACCCGACACAACCGTACTCCGCGTCAACCCCCCGTCTGACCTCTCGCCTCCGAACCGTCTGACCTTCCTCTCCCGCCATTCCACCACCCACGTCCAAGTCCGTCCGCTGTCTGGTCTTCTAAACCTCTTCCGTCCAGGGTCCGATGTCGCGCACCTCGCGTTAGAGCACTAAACGGGAACCCAGGAAAAAACTCTTCTGATTGCCGCCGAATCACGAGATGTGGATGCCTTGGAATTGATACTTGCGGCAGAGCTCCATAGTTTCATTCCAGTCCTGGTCACTTTCAGTGGGAAAGCCACATATGATATCCGTGAGAAGGAAGAGCTCCGGAACTCCAGCTTTGAGGCGATCCGCCAAATACGCGAAATCACCCACTGTGTACTCCCGCCTCATGCCCCTTAGCACCTGGTCAGAACCAGACTGAACTGGAATATGCATGAAGGCATGCACATTCGGCCGGTTCAAGACTTCGATAATCTTGTCCACATGTTGCATGATGAAGGGTGGATTTGTCATACCTGTGCGAAGCATGACATGGGGAGGCAAAGCATCGGACAAGCGCACCAATAGTTCCGCGATGTTCGTACCAATGTCGAGGCCATATGCACCCATGTCCTCCGAGGCAAGCTCGATCTGACAAACCCCTTCTTTTGCAGCGTCAAGCGCCCGTGCGATAATTGCATCGATTGGATACGACACCACTTTTCCTCGTGACATCTTTGTCTTGCAGTAGGTGCAGTTTCCAAGGCATCCCGCATTGATTGTGATAATCTCTGCGAGTCTGTGCTTTCGAACTTTGGGTAAGGACAATGAGGGCAAATCTCCTCGCTTGTCCAGCAGCTGCACTGTGTTTCCCTTCACTGTTTCCTCGACCACCTCCACGATCCGATCCAGCTGTGTGACATCCAGCATGCTAACACCCGTAAGTGTCTGTGCCAACTTCTTGTTGCTAGAAGGCACACAGCCTGCAAGCACAACTCCCTTCCCAGCTTGCTGCGCATTGGTGACTAGGTTCAAGGCTCTTGTTTCCGATGGGTGCTTCACGGTACACGAGTTGATGACGATGGCGTCACTCTCTTCAAGAGTTTCCACCAACGTGTAGCCGTAGTCCTTTAGCTGCCCTGCCAAATACTCTCCATCTGACTGATTATGTGGGCAGCCAAATGTCTTGACATGTATACGCTGCTTGCCTGGTAAGAGTGCAGTTTCTGTTGAAAGAGTCTCTGCTTCGGGAGCAACCTGCTGTCCCCGGATTCTTCGGAGGACTTCTCCCAAACCCAGCATGGGTGGTCGGACGTGGACATTTGAGGCTAGATCCTCCAGGTCGTTCTTCGCTTGACGCGGGCCTAGCTCCTCGGCGTTGGCTTGAATGGCACTTCTCGAAGCTGCTGGGCTGCTCTGCTGATCCGTCCAACCTAGGTGTCCTAGGCGTTCCTGCTTGCGACAGAGAAAGAACTGCCAGGCAGTGGCGACTCCGAAGACGAAAGTCAAGCAGAAGGCGGGCGCAGTCTTCACCAAAGATTGGGATGACACATTGCCCATGGCACCAACTGGCAAATTCTCGGTTTCCCCTGCTCTCTTAAAAATTTTATCTACAACAAAACAGTTCAGTTTTGATATCAGGGTCGACATGGTTCCTTGCAGTTCACAAATGTCCATCTCGCGGAATGTCGGCGGCATGAATTTTACATGGCGGCAAGCTTCACGGATTGCTTTGGGCAGCACATTGCCATGTCCACGCTCTCGCTCTTTTCCCTTTTTCTACCGCTTCTGGCCTCTTCTCTTCTGGTTCAAGACTTGAAGAGGAAGCACACTGTCTTCTAAATAACCTCACTCTCTGTCTCGTAAGGTAAAGCAAGTAAGTACGTTTGCCACGGGTTCACAACAGTACGTAAGGTAAAGTGAGTGAGAATGTTTGCCACGGGTGCCCCTACTTGTGTGTACCCCTTACCTCTTGCCTGTACTCCAGCCTTTCCCTGCCTTATCCCGAACAGAAGCCTTATCCCTGCGCAGCACTGCCTCTCTCTCTCTCTCTGTTTATCCCTCCCTCGCTCTGCTTTCTGCCTTGCAACTGTCAGGGAAATTCGCGAGTCCGGCCTTAAGCTCAGTTTCCAAGTGCACGACTCTGGAGCTCAAGGCTTGCTGAGTGTTTTGTGCCTGTCGCAATGCGTTAGAACAGATCGCCATGTGCAGGCAAGGAAGGCAGCTGCCGCCCTGCCGCCTCTTTGATCGCCCGCAACAAGACATCAGCCGCCTGCAGCTTCGATGCACATCGATGCAGAACTCGAAACAGATGCCCTTCAGGCGCCTGCTGCAATGAGCTGGCACGACATGGCTTCACTTCCGGGGAGCCTGGCACCGGCGCTGCCAGCGCGTCTCAAGACTGAACATGCTTCTCTCTGCATCTCCTTGGGAGTCGGTCACGGCAACCAGTGCCACCTGGCTTTCATCCAGCACAATCATGAACTGACAAGAAGCCCGGAGTCGTCGGTGCGGTGCACCACAAGTGTGCTACTCGGGGGTTGAGTCACTTGGCCGCCTGGTCTGTCTGGCCCATCTCACCTGAGCTGAGGCACATTTCAGGATCGACACCCCCTCCCCGGCCCTCCTCCTTGTACGTGAACTTGCTGGAGCTAGCTAGCAGCTAGGGGCCACTTCGTGGGTTTGCGCAAGTCCGTCTCAGCGCTGGACGGGGAAAGAGTCCGGCTGCTTCTCAGCCGATTCTCACTCTTCGGTTGCAGAAGACTTCTGAGATGAAGGCACCCAAGTCGCGAGCAAGAACAAATGCAGAACGTCGAATGCTGTGTACGACTCCACGTGCCTGTTTCTTTGCAAGCGTTCACACGCTGAGCGTTCCACATGAGACTTCTTGAACCATGCAGTTGGCACTGCGTCTGATGATGCACATGCATGAAGAGTAGACCCGCAACAGCCCATCTGCATTCCCGGGCTCTTTCTCCTGCACTGACTTAGCACAACCAATAAATCCTCTCAGCCGACTTGAGAGGGTTGGTTATGATGAGCCTCTGCAGGTTTCAACGCTGTGTAGGCTGTGTACTGTCAACCACTGCTGTGCGGCCATACTTCTGCCATGGTGGTTCGGTTCCAACCAACTAGGTCGCCCGAAGCAGGCTGATCATTGGTCTGTTTCTTTTTGACATGAAAAGCCGTCACGATATTGAAGCAACTTTCGGAACATCGGCTCCCCTGACATTGGCTTAGTTAAATCTCACGACTCTGGGGGTGTGGGGGTGCTAAGCCGCTATCTCAAAAGCCACGTGAAGTCCTGAACTACAACATGCCGCAAACCGATGTGATCACGGCTCTTTGAGCTGGCTGACATCTCGGGTGGAAGTGCTTGATGTCTGAGAGCTTGCAGGGCTTCGGGATGTCCTTTAGCCAGTTGTGTAATTGCCGCGGAGGCTTCTTCCGTGTTTATTCACAGAGTCACTCTGTAAACAACAACGCAGAACAGGCAGTGGCTGCGAGCAAGTGGTTTCTTTCGCAAACTGCATGCTCGAGTCTACTGTAGGGAGTTACATAATATCACATCCCAAACTCTTGTTTTAAGAATCCACGCTCCAGCACGCGGGGAACGCGCTGCCTTGAAGCACATTTTCAGACCGATGGGAAGCGCATCATCTAGAGGAGCTTCACTTGACGCTTCACCACAGATACTTCATGCACTCATGCTTACTTTCCATGCCCATGTATAACTATTACAACTTGAAGCATTGACATCAAGATCATTGCCACGGCGCCTTCTGCCATTGCAAAAAATCTGCATGGAAGACCCTGCACTGCCCTTAGAACTCGTCTGATACTCCGCGACCTGTCACGGTTGCCGGAGCGGCGCGATTTACAATGCAAAAATGCTTTGAGATGCGTTCCATATTGGCGGATAAACTGCAGAAAGAGCGTGTCAGATAGGATCGGCAATCACAGTGCCATCCTCAAAGGAGTCTTGTGTGCATCTCGATCAGCCTATGGTGGTAGCTCCCAGCGGTCCTTGCTGATCTGGGTCATCCACCCGATCACCTCAGGGGCATCGCTCATCTTGCCCGCGGGAGTTCAGCATGCTTCGCCATGTTGTAAGCTGAGATGCTCCGTCCATTTTGGCTCTCACGCGCAGCCTCATCAGGCCGGACCTCACGAAAAACGAGGCACAAGTGAGGTCAAGGACAGCAGGGGTCACAGAAGCATCAAGCACATGGGCTGGATGCAGATGGATGAATGTTGCTTCTGGGGGAAGTGCTCCTCATCCTTTTTCGGCCAGGTCAGGACCTCCAGCACCTGCACTCAAAGATGCAAATTCCCAATGCGCCAATAAGACATGACTGGCGCCCACGCCAACAAGACTCTGTACATTCACATGAGTTTCTGATGCCTCCCCCTCCTTGACCTTACGGACACCTGCCTTTGGCTGGGTGTCCTGCCAGCAGGGCGGACAACGACCTTTGTGAAACCCTCTTGTTGGCCTGGGCACCCTGAAACCTTTACCCGTCTTTAACCGGTACATCGTGACCACGGCAGCCTTTACCATTACTCCCAAGCAAATCCTTCAAAAGCTTATGCGAGACGTCCCGTCGTAGTAGTAGAGGTAGTAGTAGTAGTAGTAGTAGTAGTAGTAGTAGTAGTAGCAGTAGTAGTAGTAGCAGCAGCAGCAGTAGTAGTAGTAGTAGTAGTAGTAGTAGTAGTAGTAGTAGTAGTAGTAGTAGTAGTAGTAGTAGTAGCAGCAGTAGCAGTAGTAGCAGCAGCAGTAGCAGTAGCAGCAGTAGCAGTAGCAGTAGCAGTAGCAGTAGCAGTAGCAGTAGCAGTAGCAGTAGTAGGAGTAGTAGTAGTAGTAGTAGTAGCAGTAGTAGTAGTAGTAGTAGCAGTAGTAGTAGTAGTAGTAGCAGTACTAGTAGTAGTCGTAGTAGTAGTAGTTGTTGTTGTAGTAGTAGTAGCAGCAGCAGTAGCAGCAGTAGCAGCAGCAGCAGCAGCAGTAGCAGCAGCCAAGCAGCGGCAGTAGTGGTCTGGTAGTAGCAAAAAAAGCCGGGGGGTGGGAAGGTGGGTGGTTGGGGGTTGGGAGGGCGCGCGCAGGCTGCAGCACTTGCAAACACGTTCGAATCACCGGCTTGGAAAGGATCTGCCTTCCACGGCATAAAGTTCTGCATAGCTGTGCAAGGCTTGTCAAACCAGGGTTGGGGGTTCGCAGCCCTTTGCCACCCCACTTGCACACACACACACAATGCTTCAGCGGAGATAGGAAACTCTTCATAGCAAGAGACAAGCGAATCGCAAAACACAGCGGCAGTAGAATGCAGCGGGCGGGGGGCGGGGGGGAAGGGGCAACAGCACATAGAACAAGAACAACACCAAGCAACGTCAGTCAAACAGACGGAAAGCACAAACCAAATAGCCGCCGCACTCTATTGCTCAAAACACTACATTGCGGACGATGCTTTTCCGTCGTGTGACGGGATTCCATACTGCGCCGTTCAGCGAACAGACTTTTAGACTTACAGCCGACACCAGGGTGGCGAGGGTGGAGGAAAAGCTTTTGGCCGTGGCAGCATCAAGCCAAAGTGGTAGGGCAGCACGCCGTTGGCGGTTGTTTCTGCGCACAGAAGTGCGATACATAACACTGAACAAAAGCCATCAACAGAACGAAACAACACTAATATCAACTCCTACGAAAACTGGAGCTCCCTTGGAAACTGAGCAGTCTCGGACAGGACGAAAAGTCTTTGGTGCTGCGAGGCCTCAGCTGGGCTTTCTGGTTCTCGGCCGAGAGGCCATCGGATTGCGATTTGTTTCTAAAGTTGCTCTGCTTTTCTAATTGGGCCGGCTTGCTTGTGGATCCGATAAGACGGATAAGGCATGATCCTGTCAACAGCGTCCTCCATAGTCTCAGAGAGCTCACTTTGCCTGAGGACCTGGCAGCAGGCAGCAGGGGGCACAGGATGGTGCTTTTCCATCCAAGATTGTCAAGCCGAGTCAGTCAGCCTTCCACAGGTGGCCGCCCTCTTGCAGGAAAATTGTGCCCTGGTTGCCCGCGATGGTCACCCAGCCTTCCTTCCAGATCGTGAAGGACTGGTATAGGAAATGACAAGTGGGCAAGCGGCTCTCACGGGGCTAGAATGACTGGAATGATTGTGAAGTAGTCTTGTGCATCGTGATCATGCTGGTCCTTGTCAGTCTCATCTCCCACAACCTGCAGGGTAGCATTGTGTAGCATTGGAACTGAAAGCGATGCTTGTGTGAGGCGTATTTGCGGGCCTTGCCCCTGGCTCGAAAGACCTGCAGCGCTGCGAACAAAGGGATGAGGCCGCTCGTGCTGACTCGGCACGAACGGCCTTCAGGGAAGTTTCTTTCTCGGGGCCCTCCAGCATTTCCAGGATCTGACAGGCGATCCGTTCAGAGAAGAGGCTACAGGTGACAGGGCAACTTCCTGTTGGTGACAGCATCATTTGGACGTTTGCGGGGGCGGGGCGGCTTTTTCATTGCTCGCAGAGGCTCTCCGGCAAACATCCATCTCTCGGCGGTGGAGGAAGCGCGCTTCTGTTCCTCAGCACTGAATCTGGCTCCCAGCAGCTTCTGCTGATCGATGCCATATTCCTGTCGCGACAGGGTCAGGGTAGAGACAAGGCTACTGGCAAACAAGCTTGCTATGTCATGCGTGATTCTTGGTGATCCTCGCCTGGCAGATATGCGATAAGCGTCGTGCCCCCACGCAGCGCCCGAGCGTCTTCAGCGTGATCCGAGTTGGCAGAAGGTCACGAATTTCCACGAGCTTGTTTGGCCTTGTCTTGGATGCAATGTCGTGCTGGTTATGCAAGTCACATAACTTCATCAGCTCGTCGAAAATCTCCAATGCCTCTTGAACCAATCTGGGGCGAGATCTTGCGCATGCCTTCAGAATCTGGTTATATTGGATCACAGATGGCCGCAGCTGATGCGATGACATGGCTCTGAAACATCTCAAGGCATCCGAAAAGGATCCTTGCTCAGCATAGGCGTTGATCAGCGGTCCAAAACTCCTCTCGTCCGGCTGCAGCCGGCTGCCAACAATATTCCTGAACAAAATCCTCTCAGCTGAGCTCAAGTCCTTGCCCTTCGTCGCATGGCCGACAATAAGCGAGTTCAGTATAACCAAATTTGGTCCATGTTCCTGCTCAGCCAATGCTGCCCAGCGCTCTGCACCTGGCAAGTTACCGGTGCGAACTTCTCCGCTGACCAAGACGCCGAACATTTCACTGCTGGGCCTCAAACCAAACGAGGTTGCACGTCTGTACCAGTACTCAGCAGCTTTCGTATCCCCTTTACGAGAAGCAGCATCCACGACGGACGTGAAAAGAACGATGTCCGGTCTGATGCTGGCGTCCAAAGCATTCTCAAACCAGCGTTCAGCGGCGACAAGATCACTGCACTTGGAGCAGGCATTTACGATGATGCAGAACGAGTGCAGGTCCGCAGCGCCGGCCCGCTGCACAAGCAGAAACATCTTCTCTGCTCTACGGAGATGGTTCAAGGACGCAAAGATTTTGACGAGTTCCAAACACATTCGTCGAAGCCAATTCTGCGATCCCGCCATTCGACCTCGTTCAACCCAGGATTCAGCTGCATCCATCTGATCCGGCCGTCCCTGCAAGGCAAGTGCCTTCGAAACTTCGAAACAAGCAGAGTGCACCGGGCCATCCAAGTCCTTCTGAGGTGAAATGCCATCACAGCCCTCAGGCAAGAGACGTCGAAGCAGGCCTTGCGCGACTTCGAGGTAGCCCATCTTGGCGGCAACCGCAGCAACATGTGCCACGGAAGCGACCTTGTCTTCAGGACACAAGAGACCATCGGCCAGATCGAACCATCTCTCCACACAAGCAATGCTGTTGCCTTCAGTTGCATGCAATGTCGCAACTGCGACCACTGCAAGGGTTCTGTGGTGTGGATGTGCTGCGGTCTTCGTCGACTCCAGGAAAAGCTCTTCAGCAAGCTTGGCATCACCCGCCGTCGCTGCAGAGCAAAGCAGCACCTCCCAAATGCTCGGAGCCAGGACCATATCTGTCGAGAAACGTCTGAACCAGGCTTCCGCTGCACGAAAGTCACCTTCTCTTGCAGCAGCATCTACGAGCATGTGGATGTGCAGACCTTGCACTTGCCCGTGAGCATTTGTGTGAGCTCTAAACCAGCGCTGTGCTTCCTGTCGATTGGTCTGCTTGGTTGCGGCCTCCATGAGCTTTCCAAAAGTGCGACCATTGGGTGCGATGCCTTCCTCCAGCATTTCTTCGTAATACTTTACAGCGAGGTCAGCACTTCCCGCATTGGCACAGGCCTTTCCAGGCAGAAGTCTCAAGATCACGCCTTACCACCTCAAACGGAGACAAAACCGAATTCCTTGAAGAGCAGAGCTTCCTTCAAGCGAGTGTTGTGCCAGGTTCGGCGCGACTCGGCCGGAATGTCGCTGCGCAGCTGATGAAAGATACTATCAGCACGGCCAATGTCGCCATGCCTGCCAATGCAAAGCACTGTACTTGGGAGTCGGCTGTGCGCACGTGCAGAGACGAACACGAGATCGCACGAAAATTACGAGGCCGAAAGCAGCATCTCGCAGACTCACTATACGGCTTCGCCAGACTTATTCAATGGAATCCGGCAGGTAAAAAAATCCGTGCAGTAGGTCAGTAGGCAACCACAAACGTCAAGAAGTCATCGGCAAGAAGCGTTCCTCGTCGAGAAAGCATGACTTCTCCAGCCGAGACGCACAGCTGCAGCATTTAGCTTGTTCAACCCACTGTGCACCACGGAATGCTCAGATCTTTCCTCGCGCGAGACCGGTGGATAGCAATATGTAGCAACAAACTTCAAGATCCCGCGTGCAGGGAACCCTGTGCGGAGAAGACGCAGCGCAGGACTTGGCTTCGTCGGATGCAAATCTCAGTCCTCGCCGGTCCAAGGGCCCTGCAGCGCCGAACGCTTCGAGGCGACGTGTCTTGCTGCTACGAAGCTCACCTTTGGTAGCAGCACAGTGGCAAGTGGGTGTCCAGAAAAGCAGCCATGCTGAGTCTGCCACCCGCATTGGCATCCCGTACACCGCGCACACCACGCCCATCATAAAGTCAAACAGGCCCAATGCCCATGGGGAGCGAAGAATGGTGCAGATGCAAGCACAACCCAGCACCAACCTCCTGCAACTTGTAGGGCTGTTCTAAAACATGTGAAGGCCGAGTGCTGCTGGAGCCAATGCGTGACATTCGGCATTCGCATTCGTATCCAGGCCATGTGCAATCCGCGGCCTCTCCAACTTTGAGCTGGTGGACCGTCTGGCTGCCGTTGACCTCCAACTTCTCCGTCATTGGTGTCTCCTTCGGCTCTTTGCTCCTAGCCTGAGTTCCTTTTCAACTGGAAAAACGTCCTTGACAACTTTGTAGTATGCCTTGACGATGCGGAGAAAAACCTCACGGATCGGTCCAGTCGTAAGACTACTGGCATCAGATAGGAAGTGTTTAACGTACAGGATCACCTCCCGAGAGATCTTCACCTCGTGCGGTTCCAGGATACTTCGGAAGAGACTGCGCGAGGCCAACCATGCAATGAAACGGTGCTGGTGGCACGAGTCTTTCAAAATTAGGAGGTGTGATGCGGCCCTGCCTTTTCAACTCTTCTGCCGTCAACTCTGCCTTGGCCTTGGAACAGCGTGTTGAACCCAAACCAACCGTCGACGGTGCTTCGATTCATTTCAGATCCAAACCGTTTGCGACCTGTGAAAGAAAAAAGCATGCAAACTAAAGCATGCGCAACCGCTGGTAATGAGCGATGATGCTGTGGGGGCTGCGCACGGAGGAGACGTGTATATAATTCACACAAGGCCAGCCCAGCAACACACGTCTGGAGAGAATCTGCATCTCAACCTTTACACCGCCAGCCGGCTAGCATCACATTGATCAAGCCAAGTGCAATGACATGTCCTGGCACGACCGGGATCGGCCAATTATGTAGCCATGTCATCTCAGATAACAATGTTCAACGCACCACCGGAACGACCGCCCTTGCTGTGCCACATGCAGGTGGGGAAGAAGTGTGGAAACACATGACATGGAACAGTCCAGCGCAACACCGATCAAGGAAAGAAACGTACCAACTCCAAGAGAAAACCAGTGCACCCATTGAAAGTGCCGTCCAGGTGCCACGGGCTTCGGCTTCGGCTTGGGCTTAGGAGTAGCTTGCAGCATGATGGCTTGTATCGCTTGCAACCGGCCGGCAGCCTCCTGCAAGGTTTCGACGTCAATTTGGGCTCGAGATAGCGATGTGTTGATCGAACCCGCATGCAACAAGCAGAGTGTGCATACTTGTGCATGTCCTGGTCCAGCGCAGCAACCGCCACTGGGCTGACGTTGTTGGTGACGTTCGACTCATCGGCTGCCTCGTTGTCCGCCTCTTCTAAGGAAGCCTGGCCACGCAAGCCCAGAAGTAAAGGACATGCCGTCGTGCCAAAGAAAGCTGGTTGTTGCCTGGACCGGCTTTTCCGGCTCTGCCTCCTCCGCTGCCGCAGAGAGCTCTTGAGGCTCAAACTCCTCTTCTTTGACATCCTGAGACTGTTGCACGGTGCCGAGCTCTCAGGATGCCCCCTGCCCCAGGCCACTCGGAAGCTCAGCCTTGTCTATCGTTGAGAAGAAGGAGATGAACTCCTAGGCTTCGAAGCTCCGAGCTGCTCTGATCGTCTGCGACTCCTTTTTTTCTAGTCCTCCTCATCCAGAGCTCCATCCCCATCTGAATCTACGTGGCCGAACAGCTCCTTCAGCAGGAGCCAGGCAAGACAAGCAAGGGAAGGGTTGAAGAGTGTGCCCCTCAGAAGCTTGAAGACGGTTTGACCCACAGGAGTCTCCTCGTAAGTGAGTTTGTTGAGTCTAGCAAACTGGCGAGCCACCTGGTAAGCATTCAGCTGTAGCCGAGTCTGCCGTGCGCCACTGCCTTCTGCAGAGCATCGGGCTTGCCTTCATGGCGAAGCTGCGGACAACCTCGAGCTCCTGCGCCCTTCTGCGCCAGCCCTGCCGGGAAACAAATGTGGCTACTTGGGGACTCCGACAAGTGAGGGGTCCGGCGGGTCCTGCTCGCGGTACAGCCTGCTAAGGTTGGTAGCCCGGATGAGCCGTAGGTCTGCACGACCCACTCGAGACTCCAATGGCTTCGTCTGCCAGGCCATAACTGGAATCTATCCGACACTGGTGCCAACATGAGTTTGCCTCAATGTTCACGAACTCCCTCAAGTCATCCTCATACTTCCTGGGCTCAGTAGAACTGTCACCACTGCTTCGGCTTTGCAGCAAACAGGCTCGCAGCTGTCACCGTTCTCACAGGCAAGCCGCTTGTCGAAGCCAAGCGGAATCGACCTCACCCGCTGCCGCATCTTCTCCTCTGTGTCTCTGCAAGCCTGCCAGTATCTGCAAGCGCTCAAAGTATCTCGAAGTGGCTCCTGAATCTGGAAAACCATTCTCACAACCCGCTCCATTTGTCGTTTTCAAGCCGCTCCTGTAAATGCAACCCTCCTCTCGGCTGCCTTTGTTGTGACTGCTTCACGTAGCCCGCTGCCCCGCTGCCTTCACCAAGCCATCGCAGCGATCGGCTTCTTCCTCCATTTCGGAAACTGGAGCCGTCTTGGCCTGGATACGCAGCGTCCATTCCCGCAACTGGGCTCACACTGCGATTTTTGAGCATTCGCCTTTCCGAATAAAGGAGCCACGACCTTCTCCATCGCACGGAGTTCCTGCAAGGATCTGCAATTCTGAGAGACCACGCAAGCCTAGACAATCCAACTGCTTCAAACCTTCTCGAACTCCAGTGCGAAGCGATCTGCCTGAAATGCAGGCCTACCTTCTTGGAGTCCAGACTAGAGACCAGACCATGGCAACGCCTGAAAAGAACATGTCGGGCCTCGCGAACTTTGGCCCGCACCTTCTCTCGAAGCCCTGCCAGAACTCGCTCCTGAAGCGACGGTGCTCATGGTCTTCGAACGGACAGAAACGGCACAGAGCGTCCTTTGCTATCCGTGCTGCCTTGCGACGCCTTGAATGGCACAGTCTTGCTGTCTTAGGTCTTAAGGACCGCGTCACCATCTGTTTCTCAATATGGGCGAGCCGGCAACATTAAAATCCGTCGTCAAGGGGCTCGTTCCTTTGCATCTCCCGGACAATGCCGATGGATGCATTCAGCAAGTACATCCTCAGCCACGCCCGACGCCCGGCAAGCCCAGAAAACCCCCGACAGTGAAAGCTTTGAGCGCAGAGCTTTCCGAAACTTACCCCCCTCTCGTCAGCATCCACGGTGCATCTCCAAACTTTGTCCAGAAGAGCCTAAAGAGGAGCCACATGTGGCAAGTTCACAGGCACTTCAGCTGGCCTTGTCCACATTCACTGACATCTCTTTCTTGGCATACGTGACCACCTCCGTTACAGCGATGCTGAGCCATCCGGAGTAGAACCGCACGAAAGCAGGGCTCTACAACAGCCTCAGCTTGACTCAGCACATTATCCTTGTCCCTGTCGTACTTTGCGAACATGGCCTGACGGTGTTTGGGGAAGCATGGTTGGTGCTTTGACTTGCTAACGGTTGCAGTAGTTCCCATAAAGTCGCTCAAAGGCAACTGACTAAACCCACAGCGTACTTGTTAAAAGTAGCAGCCGACAGAACGCGCGAATCAAGGACTGGCTTAACATCCAGTCAATGAGGCCTCCATCTCTTTGGTTTTCTGCCTGGCAAAAGCACGCCGCACGGCCTGCTCTTTTGCTCCTCCGCATGGCACCAAGAACGTCGGCACTCAGACACGACAAGCGCTGCCGAACCTCTTGCAGCTTGTATCAAAGACTCGGCAGTTTTGCCGCACCTGAAGCTGAACAGTTCGACCTTTACCAACACGCACAGCAGGCAACCACTTGGGAGTCGAAGCCGCATCTAGGCCGACGGCTCGTTGATTCGCTGCAAAAGCTTTCCCAGGGCCTGCTGCCAGTTGCGGGCTCGATGTGTTTGCTATATGTGCGCTGCATGACTCAGGTTCGGCCTGCTTGGTCTCACCAGTCACCTGAACGCCAGGAATCGCCGGAATTGGTGCGGAGTCCTTCCCAGCGCTGGCATTACGAATGGATGCTGTCCACAAATCATCCTTGATGTCGTTGCCGTTCACCATGATGAAGTCAGTACAAGCCTCAGCATGGCTGAGACATGGCGGGCTAGCAGTTGGAGCCCATGCCCACCCCCCTGTGACCTTCGTGGCAGTCTTGGCATCGCTGCCAGCCTTTGAATGCTTCCAAACCGCCAATGTTCACTCCAAGTCCGAGGTGACGAAGGTTCAGGAAACCCTGATCTGTTTTGGACTCTCGAAAGCATTGGCATGGACCTCTTCGACGGCCAGCGCGCATGCCTCGACCTCCTTCACCTGGCATTCCAGCGCTTATAGTGCACTAATCTGTGAACGACAGTGCAACATGCAACACTGCATGAGCAAATATAGACAAATTCAGAAAACTCAACACCGGAGAATAGCTGGGCGTTGCCAGGCCGAGCCGATGACTAAGGATAAGCGTTTGCTGGCTGCTCAACAATCCCGAATCAGGTCAACGTGTGGGCGGTGCTTGACATGCCGTGCCGAGAGTCATCCAAAGACAGTCTGACCTATCTAAGCTCTCCATCGCCAGCTCCTGCGAACTCGAGGCTCATTTTCGAAAGTAAAGTTGCTGCATTCGTTTTCGAATCCAAGACCGGGACGATATGCGCCGAGGCCGCCAGCGTATTGGGGGCTGACTCAGGTACCCTCCCTCTGATCCTGCTCCCTGTAGTCCGACAGTTTGGAACCATTGTTTTTTGCATTCATTTCCCCCCCCCCCTCGGCCCCCATTCATGTTATCTGTTTTTTCGCCCTCCCCCCTCAGCCCCCCCCTCCCCTGTTCCTGCTGGTTTTTGGGTCTTGTTTTGCCCCCCTGCTTTCCACTTCTGCATCCGCTCTGCCCGTTCACATTACAGAAACAAGTCGATGAGTTCTGTCACCGTGCTGGTCTCCGGCAAGCCGAGGCGGGCGGCGTAGCGATAAAAATTATCCTTTCTTTGGAAGGGTGCCCATGCGCTCAGGTCTTCCGCGAAAGTAAAGGCCAAACAAGATTTCTGAAGGACGCTAGATCGAGCTTATCAACTTCAAAACACCACGTGGACTCTTTGAGAACGCTCCTTGTGAAGCCAAGCACACCAGGTCCTGATGTTCGCTTTTGACTGGGACCTCATTGATAGCACATTGGGTGCGGAGGTGTCCTATGTAATTACGTAGTGCGAGGATGAATGTGGGGCACGACTGTTGCACGCGTGCACTAATATGGGTGCTATGCAGACAGAAAACATCTGGAATCTGCGGTCAATACACATGCTGCAATTTTCGGCGGGCAAACACTGTCTTCGATCTTCTCGGACAGCGGCGCAGCCAACTCCTCGCGATCCAGCTCGGCCAAGCTCAAAGGTTTTGGAGTTCAACAAAACGAAAACGGGAATGGGGCACTTTCTATTTTAGGGAATGGTGCTGCTATTCTGGAAACATCCACAATACCCAGTAAGGGGAATATCGATGTTGTTGGCGAAATCCCGATAATGTGCCAATACAACACCATACAACACCCCTCACATTTTCCACTAATCCGCTGAGGCCACAGGCCCAGGCGTCTTGGGGGTTACCTAAGGTACCCTCCACCTAATCCAGTGCAAATGTTTGGAGACACCCTGTTTTTGCGTTCGCTTGTCCCTTCATTTTACCTGATTTGTCGGCCTCCCCCCCCTCCCAAGGCCTCCCCCCCCCTCCCCCACCCCTCCCGCCCTCCCCCCTCCTCCCCCCTTCCCCCTCCCCCCCCCCTCCCGCGCGACTAGTCCCTACTACAACCGGAACCCCGATACCGCAACCAGAAGCCCGATACCGCAACTGGGCCTGGATTTGTGCAGAACCCGAAACCACCATATCACAACCAGCCAACAAGCTCACATTTTGCATGGTTTCCAATGGTTTCCAATCTGATGGTGAACCTTCAAGGAAACACATTCATTCTTAGAAACAAATCAGTTGCAGTAGGGACCGTTCTTCGCCCGGATGCTACGATCTACTAAACTATCATCACGAACAACTAAGGACTCATACCAACTGCTGATTTTTAGGGGGTTGATTTAAAGCAGTAGACCAAACATTCTGAATTTCAGAATTAGGCAATTGGAATACCCTTTGATGGAACCCTGGGCCCCGCGATGTCCTCCAACTGTTCTCGAAGCAGCTACAGTAGTATAGTTAAAGCCCGTAAAACCTCTACAGAATGCCCTGCGAAACGCTGTAAGAACAATAGAGCTTGCAAGGATGCCCCCCAAAAAACTCCCTTAAACTTACTTAGAGGATCATGGAACATAGTAACTAGGGATACAATTAAAGCAAATATGTTTAAACTATTCATACTCCCGATTAAGGTAGCACAGCCCTACTTACTAAGTCCCATGATCCTCCAAGTATAATGAACAAAGTAAAGAAGAACTGTCCAGTAATAGGGACCTTTTTTGAGTCTTGGTTGTAGTATAGGGCTTCTGGTTGTGATATCGGGGTTCCGGTTGTAGTAAGGACTATTTCCGCCCCCTCCCCCTCTCCCCCCCCCCCTCCCCCTTCCCCCCGTTTCCGTTGTTTCCGTTTTTGGGCGTGTAAAGGTTGGGGTTGAGAGGCCCCCCTAGCATGTATACAACATCGACTGCCCCCTCGCCCTCCCGCTAAAGAGCCGAGGCGGGCGGCGTAGCGTTAAAATTAACTGTATCTTGTCGTCGAGACCGTCCCGCCGGGTCGTTCGTAAACGGCGTGCCATGATGTGCCACGTGTTCTTCGTCTCCTCCCTGGTCGGAGACGGTGAGCAGCTGCGGCTTCCCTTGCTGCCGCACGGATGGATGTTCGGATCGCTTCTTCTAAAGTCTAAAGCATCAGTCGCGCAACAGACAGACAGGTTCGCATTCCGCCGGTCAGGAAGGTCTTATTTGAGCTTCAGTGTCGAGCAACCTCTACGTGGCAAGCACTTCATCTTGCCGTCGTCATTCCAGAAGATTCTCTGCATCGAAGCCGGCACGGACACGGAGGCACAGAAAAACACAAAGCAGTGAACACAACATCAGAGAGAAAGAACAGACGGGAGGCACACGCCACGGGGCCAAAGTCCGTATCACACACGTCACAGTCCACGTCTCCGTCCTAGATCAAAAGTGACCACAGGGGCAGTCCCTTCCTTGGAGAACAGGCCTGAATGTGCAAGCATGCACGTCCATGTTGTCGATCTGTGCTGTACAGATCTTCTTTCACCGAGTCAGGGAGCCGACCCTCAGCAGCAAAGAACTACCCAGCAGCTGTCTTGCGTTTCGAGCTGAAGCTGTCCTTCAATCGGGCCACACCTATCTCTGCTGCTTCCACCAGTTCGCTCAGCTCCTGTGATGACCACACTTTGACTTTGGCTTCTCCGACGTCAAGAAGGGCCGGTCCTTGAGGAGCTCATCTGTTTTGGCTTGCTGCTCCTGTCGCTTCTTGTCCTCCGCCTCCTTTTTATCCTCACGGCAAAAGACTCGTTGGCACACAGTAACCTGCGCTCACACTGTTCCTGACAGAAAGAGACTCCGAGGCTTTGGCTAACTCCTTCTGCCGCTGCTCTCTGATGCTATCAAGTCTTTTCATTGCTTGTTCCAGTCCCTTCTCACTTTCCTCCAAGCGCACCATGACAGCGGCATTCGGAATTCGTGCTCTGTACTGGAACCGTGCCTCTTTTATGCGCTCTTTTTGGCTGCCAGTGTTCTCCAGCTCGACTCTGAGAATCTCCTCGAATCTTGCTGCCGATGTTGAAGAGCAGTCGCCGACACATCGAACTGATCCGAGCAGCGGAGCCTGAAGCTCTTTTTGAACCTCTTCGAAGGTCTCAGGTGAAGCTAGCCTGACCTTTTGGATGACCCTGACAGTGCGCAGCTTAGCGATGAAACTTCTGCAGTACAGGTCGAAGGCCCCCTCTGCACGTGGGCCTTCTTATGGCGAGAGTGGACCTTTGCTCCTGCCGTCTCTTTTCCTCTAAATCCTTTTTCTGCTTGGCTGCCTCCGAATGCGAATTGCCGGTGCGGGGCTCGAGAAGCTCTTATGCCGAGGCCTCCTCCTTCTGCTTCTGCTCTTGCTCTTTCTTCCGCGCAGCATCCTGTCAATCTCGCTGTCCAAGCCCTCAAATAACTTGAGAGTCAGGTCTACCCAGCTAGAACTGACGAAACACCTGACGGGGAGTCCGACCTCCTCCTTTCTTTTGGCTGCAGACTTCCGCCCTTCTTCGGCATTGCCTGGGTTGGAAACACAAACACCCCAATTATCCGTCAGCAGGCAACCAGCAGAAACCAGGTGGAGATCTCTTGAGGTGGGAACGCTGCCGCTCTTTCCCATCCTATGTTCGAGTGAGTGCAAATGCAAAGAACCAGCGATTCGGCAAACGACACATTGCACGACCCCAGAAGCATGCTTTGCAGAGTTCTGCTGTTGCCGCTACACGACGGAAGTCCTCGTCTTTTTTCCTCCGGTCATCCTGGCAGCTGCTTGTGAGACGAACACAAGAGACCGGTCATCAGCAGTGTCCCTTCTCTTTGCGATTCCAGGCAGCCTCGTCTCTACGACGGTCTTCCCGTCTTGCCCTCTCGGGCGCCCTATCCTGCAAATCAAAGCCTAAAAGCTCGGGCACAAGCTTACGGCCTACAACGTTTCTCAGATCCTCGTAGCCTGGCGGCCCACCATACCTCGTGGCTCTTGGTCTCCGTAGGCCGGCGGCTCGAACTCGCTAACTGGCTAAGACCAGGGCCCATAGGCCGGAGGGACTCCGTAGGCCTTTAGGCTGGCATCATCGTAAGCCACCACCGCACTGTTGGGCTCCATAGCCATAGCCCCGGACAGGTGGCGCACCATAGCCATAAGCCACGGGCCTCGGAGAAGCCCAAACTCGATGACAGTCGGATTTGTCTTGGCTGAGCACGCTGCTGGGGCATGCCAGGTGCCTGAGAGTTGTTTGACGCACCCCGCCGACAAAGTCAACAGCGTGAAAGCAACATCTGAACTCTCAGTCTGGTGCCGGCTGCCCATACGGCGGAGGGTACCTGCAACGAGGAGCGCTAAGTGTGCATTGGGGTCAGGTGATACGCCAAGCCACCCTGCAGGCTGTTGCTTCGGATAGCCTGACGCCGACAGTTCTATGAATCGACATCCGACAGGTGCATGCATGCTGCTGAGGCCTGATGCAGGCTGCAGGATAAAAGTATTGTCGACGGGGCCGTCATAAGGCACCTCTCACAGAGGTTGTGACTCCGGTAGTCTGCAGCTTACCGTCAGGCGTGCCTTCCATCCGCTCAGTGGTGGTGTCGGTGCCTTTTCTGAGTGGTAAGCCCAAACCTGATCTCCACCAACCTGCCCACTGCGAAGCGCTCGACAAAAAGCCGCCGGCGAGCAGCAGGACAAATGCTGGCACCTTCGGGCCAAACCACCAGCCGCAGAAGTCCGGACCGTCTCGGTCGTCCCTGGGCACTTCAAACAGGAGACATGGGCTTGGAAGCGTGGCTCAGTTCACGGCCAGAAGTATAACATCACGTCCAGGCCGTTGACCTTCGGGCTTCGGGCTTCCATCTGTGTTCACTTCTGTGGGCCTCCCGCTCCACGGCCTGTCCGTTCTTCTTATAGACTGGCTTTCCGTGGTTGTCACTTTGGAGGTTGAATTCACCCCTGACCTTGGTGCTAGCAATTGCTGCGATTGCGCAGACGAGCAAAGAGGGCTCTTCAACACGACATGGACTACAAGATAAACAGCTGTCCTGACATGCCGTCTAACAACATAACCTACTACATTTCAGAAATGTCGAGGCGCTATACAGACGCTGGACAGGCTGCACATCTAGCGATGACAAGATCGGCAAGTACTGAGCAGGCAACAATACCACCGACAGTGTCGTGCTTGCAGCCGGAGACTATCAGCCTCTCTGGCCTGGGGGGGACAGGTACTTCGCTTGAGCTCCTTTGTTGCTGGAAGCTTTTCCTACGACAAGATACACTCGATTCCTCTATTTGCCCGCCTGCCCGAAGAAGTGGACGGTGTGTATCCGGCCTGCGTCGGCTTCGATCTTCTTGCTACGTGGACCCTCAACATCATTGTGAATTGAACTATCGTTTCAATTCGGCTCCCACACCGTGTGGTGCATATGTAACCCGGCAGTGTAAAGAGAGTGGGTGCAATGTTCCCTGAAGCGTGGCTCCTGCTGCTGTAGCGCGGTGCATAGTTTGCGTTCAAGTCCTTCCGCTGGTCACCGTTTTTTACAGCGCCAGATTCATTGTAAAGTCCAATGCATGGGCCGCCCTTGAAACTCTGAATCCTGCAGGACTTGGACGAATCTTGAAGGTAGGGGAAAGCATCCCGGCAGTCTCCGGGTGGTTTCTTAGTGGTCCGCTCGTGGTCGTGGTTAGTGGTCTTCGTGGCGTTGCTTGTGGTGATCGTGGTCGTGATCGTCGTGGTCGTGTTCTTCAGGGTCTTTTCTATCACTGTTTGGGATCTACGCTGCAATGATTTGGGAACTATGCTATAACTATGCTGCGAAGTCAATCACCGCACAAAGGTTGCGACAATCCTACTGCGACTGCGTTGCTACCTGGCATGACTCTAGGGCCCTAACTGCAGCGGTCAATAAGAAAGATTCGCTACGAGTAACCTGGTAGACATGCTTGTTCATGTAACTGAACATGAACTTGCTGTGTTTCACATTTCTCCATTAGCGAATGCTATCACGATGTGAATGACTACATCGGGCCAGGTCCACAAAACCGATTCTCCTTAGAGGTAGTACCCGGGTGCGTGCGAGTGAAACAGCAAGTGAGCGAGTGATGTGAAGAGGAACATCTAGATTTACGAGACCTTCTATCTCCGCCAGCTAGAACAAGGGACGAGCCCGCTCATTCAGTGGCCGGGCAGGGCTGCAATGGAGTTAAGCGCGGTTTCGAGTTTAGGCTACAGGGGGCTTCGGGTTTTGAAGTTTGTTGTAGGGTTTTGTTTGGGTTGAGGTTTCAAGAAAAGTACAGGTTTCTGTTTGCAGGGTGCTTCAGGGGTTTACGGTTTTGGATATGGCTGTGGCCCAACCCCTATAGGCCTACAAGCCTTGTCATCTCACATCGATATACCATCATAAGGTTCTGTGGTAAATGTTAATATGTTCTCTTATTTGTTATGGTGACTTAATGACATCCCTTGGCAAGGGGTTGGAGGAGCTCCTTCTCGTGCTGAGGATTTCAGGAGCCTGACAGGAGATGAAGCAGGGCATTGGTTGGGCCTTCAGGGCTAAGGATGTCTGCGATGCAGGTTCTGTGTGTTTGTTGTTGGGCTTCTGTTGCAGCAGCAGGCGTGCTTTGCGCACATTTGTCCATGTTCACCATAGCACATCCTATCTTAGTGACGTGCTCTATCTTGTTGTTTTCCACAATTGGCTCTTGACAGCCCCTTAGAACGCGCTCATTCGCCAGCGAGGCTACATGCAGGGTAGGCGACAAGTCCTGCACTGAGGGGCAAATCATAAAAAACATCCGCGATCGAAGGCTGTATTCTTTTCTTTTGGCTTTCTCCACTGGATTCCATAGTTTGTGGCTGTGGCGGTGGAGGGTAAAACCACATTCTTGCTTACATTCATCCTTAAAGAAATTGGCTTCGTACTTCGGCACGGGGCTACTCCATATCGCATCCTTTCGTCATTGCTGCAGCGCATGAAAGATGATTTCCAGCATGTCCTTCGTGTGTTTCTTCATGGTGATGTACAACATGGCGATAGCATGGACAATGTGTGTGACAAGTTGGCGCAGCTATCTATACCAAGATTCAGCACACGTGTGGCGAGATACATCGGGATCAACCTTGCCGAGATCATCGCGAAGCCTACGGACAAAAAGCTACCACGTGATGTATTCCAAAACGCATCCTTGTGTTCTCGTGGATGTACATGGGCTTCCCCTCCAGTGCACAGATGCTCGATATAGTGCAGGGTTTACATGTGGTTTTGGCTGCTTGGATACGACCCTGGGGCAGGAACAAATGCAGATCCAACAGAGAGGTTTGGAATACATTCACTTCTACAAGTATCGTGCTCGCATTACACCGGTTGGTCACTGGGAGGTCCACTAAACATAGATTCAGCGTCATGGCGCGTGCCTTTGCACCTCAAATCCAAGAAGCATTGTTACAGCGCAATTTCGAGCAACAGTCGCGGAGAGATAATTCCGAGTATTTGTTCAACGCTCTTTGGGATGCCACCTCACCTCGGGAGGAATCGTGTGTGTATCAGTGCTTCAATACAGCGTGTAGCACTTTGTATGTTGGCAAAGCAAACCTGGTTCGTCGAGAAGGGCAACATGCATGGTGTGGTTTCGTGGTTCGTTTCGAAGAACATGTTACTCTTACCATACGTCGAAGTTTGCATCAGTCCCATCGTCAACGTTACAAAATGTGGGCCCAACATCCCATACATGCTATGTTGTTTGTGCCCGTTCTTTTCGGAGAGAAACCCTCTATGCTTCACTATGAGAGTGCATGCATACGTCTGCTACAACCACCGACGCAGACACCAAAGCATACAGCGAATGCTTCCAACCAGAAGCGTCATCGTCCTTTCCCACGTTTTCGGCAAAAACCAGATTTGCAAGATGAACTACGACTCAATGTTCTACACTGTTTGCAGTCGTCTCCGGGGTTGTCGACTACTATTGCTGCAAGCTTGTGGGAGTTCACGGACACGATCAAAAGCATCTCTTGCATTCAGCATGTTGACCAGCACTACATCACAGAACGTCTTTATGAGCGCTGTTATTCGCTGCTTCTCATCCTGTATCTTGCAGTATGTCGTAACCGACTGGATTACAAAAAGGTTTGGATGTGGAGGAATCCTTTGGAGAGGTTATTGGAGATTTGGCATCATGCGCAATTTTTGCATCATACCCGGAAGTGCAGAGTGCGCAGCAAACTCGAAAGGTTCATGTCATCTGCTCGACTTCTACCGGTACGGCTTCATCATATCAAAATCCCCGTCATTCCCGCTGCCAAAGTGGCAATTTCATATACTGCAAAGCTCATGCGCCAGCAGTTTCCTCCCTTGGTCGTCAGATTTCTGCTCTCCAAATTGCGTTTGGTCCCTGCAAAAATGTGCAACTTGGCCGACCAGTTGTCAGACCAGGTTTCTGCGGCAAAGAAGTTCAAGGTTCAGGATGTACAAAATATGCCTGAGGAGCTGCAGGAGTTCTACAACAAGCGCTGTGACGTGTTTAAACTGCCTTTTCACGTCCATATCCCAGTGCCTCCTCCTACGACAGATGAAATGGTCAGCATGTTCACTTCTCAATTGTACCAGTGGTGTCAACGAGTTCGTCTTTCAATCGACATGGACAACACTTGGCAAGCAGTGTCGAGTACGGTGCCCTCGCCGCGAAATTCCGGTCGTGCCACTATTCAGACTGTCATTGATTTCATTCGCCAAGAGCACCCGTACGCAGTTTTTGTTCCTTTGGACAGGGATATCAAACGACGGGCTGCCATGGATTTGGGTGGTTATTGGTACAGGCTATTCCACGGGTACATTCAAGATAGTGAGTACTATGCCCTCAGACCCGATCTATCACTGGCAGATGCGGCGAAGTGGCGTCAAAACCGTATGGAGGAAATGTTGCCTGAACACATGCGTACTCGACGAGCTTTGTGTGCCGAGAACATGCCCAACGCATACCACAACTACAAGGGGAAGTGTCTTCATGATGAGTTTGGTGGTTTGCAGTGTGACAAATCTCACAGCCATGAGCGCGAGGTCATCAGTGCATTCAGGGACCCACTCCAACAAGTTCTACAACCTTATGGGCGATCTTTACGTTTGGCAAAAGATATGGTGGTGAAGAGTGCTGGACGTTATGGGACCAATCGAAACTCACCAAGGTTTTGCATGAGAAAAACAAATGCCTCCGATATGATGTACACTTCGTTAACAGGTGCCCGTGCGGTAAACAGAAGAGTCATCCCCTCGGTATCGTTAAAGTGGATGCGTCGCAATTCTTCAAATCTGCCTCGACTACCAGATGCATCGAAAGGTCGCGTCAAATGTTTCAGCGATTACAGCAGAGACGCGGTGTGCAAGGAGTCGCAGTGCGGAAGACATCTCGTTCATCGGGTTTCCTTGTTAAGCACAAGCGCAAGATTTCGGGAGTGTATCGAGTTATACGTCCCCAAGATATCTTACAAGCTATGCGGTTTGCGGCTGGCGACAATTTGTTTGTCCTTGGAGATGCGGTTGTCGCGCGAAAACGCGGTTGGGCAATGGGCAACACGATGTCTTCGGCGGCTACGTGCATTGACCTCGAACATGAAGTGTTTGTTTTACATAATGACCGTAATCGCGCACGCGAACTTTTTTGGACACATGGTCGTTTTCGTATGTCAGAGTTGGTCCAAGGGCTGCAACATGTCGATGATGCCATTGTCTTCTCCATTGTCTTGTGTGGTGACTGCCTTTGGCAGGGTATGCAGAAACTGTGGCCGACAGATGTCGGTATCACGCTGGAGAGTTCGTCATCACCTCTGCATGGTGCTTTGTATTGCGACGGTTCGATGCGGTTTCTGCACGCTCGAGTATCTTTGTTGGGACATACATCAAACTCTCTTTGTGATGTTCCTTGTTACGTTCAACCTTACATGCCAAATGCAGCGTTCGCGAGTGGCATACAGCCCCACCCGCACGTGTCTCATGTTGCTCTGTTTGTGGGGTCCGAGGTACAGAACATATCACACATCCAGAACTATTTGTGGTGCAAACTCTCCATGTTTGACAAGCTTGTTATGGGATCTTGGGAGTTGGGCCGTGAAGCCGTTGCACAGATGGTGGCAGAAATCCTTCGCTTGTTATGGCCATGTCGGTGGGTTGCTTCTAGTTTGCACCAGTATCCTAGACACAACCAGTCTTGCTTTGCATGTGCAGTTCGCAAGTTGGGGCAGTCGTTGCGACGTCAACCTGTGTCTGCTTTATCGGATTGCTTGCTCCAGGTTTTGGTGGATAGAACCCACACATGTGATTAGGCTCCAAGCCCGGATGGCGTGGCATAACCGTGGGGGCCAGTGGCATGGCAGCAAACAGTCGCAGCAGTATGGCAGCAACCAAATGCCAGAGTGGCTGTATCCAGCATACTACCGGGAGAAAGCACAGCGCCAAGCACTGGAGCAACAAGTTAAAGATCGCGAAGCTAAAGACGCAGTTGACGACACCAAGCGGATGATCAGCAACGAAGTTCAGACAGCATTGAAGCCTTTGACGGAATCCATTACGAACGTATTTGGAATGCGGCAGCGCAGCAAAGACAAGCTTGACACAGACAAGGTGCAGCCAGCAACATCATCTACGTCTTCCGGGTCCATGTCGAAGCTTCTTTTGCGAGCTCTACTTCGGAATGATTCCAATGAGTCGTCACAGCCTTCGCCGCCGAGGCCAAAAAGTCGTCGCAAGCATTCGCGCTCAAGATCCCCACAACGATCCATGTTTCGCCAGCTGATGGCGTCTATGAGCAGCAAGGGTAAGGACAACAAAAAGGACCACCAGGACAAGGGCAGGAAGCGACGCAAGCGTGAAGAACCATCCACTTCATCGTCATCGCCTCCGAGCTCCCGTGGTCGCAAGCGCGGACGCCGAGCGAGTAAAGGACACCATCACCGCAACAAGGACCACAAGCATAGCAGCCAGCGTGATGATCGTGACAGTTCCCCGGAGTTGCGCGTGCCTGAGGACAAGGAGGCAACCCACAATAAGAAGACTTTGACACAACAACGTGCTCAGAAGATCGTATTCGTGATCACCCCCAGCGCGAAGGTCGAGGAACTCCCCGATCCAGAGGCAGATAGGGATGCTTGGATCAACGCGGTAGCCAACCTGACCGCCAAGAGCAAGTTGGACGCTATCATGCAGACCAATGCCATCAGCACTTCTTCGACTCACAACAAGTCCAAGAAAGTTGAGCTCATCGCCCAGCTCATGCTGAAAGAGTGAGTCTGTGTGAAAGCAGAAGCATGTGCGGAATCATTGGTGGTTGCAGTCGAAACTTTTGCCGTCGATTGTTTCAATGCCGCATACTGCTGATGCTACCGTTTTCTCTCTTGTGTGACGGCCTGCATGCTCTGGCATCCCTCATAATGCCTGCACGTGTGGGCTGGATTTTGGCTTGCATGGTGACCCTTTGCGCTATGGGCACAGTGATTGAACTCATCACTCGGGCATGTTCACCCAACTGGTTTGACATGCCCGTAAGCAGTGATCTTGAAGACACTTCTCTACTAGAAGTGTCTATCCAGTTGCACATGTCAGTCACGTCTGCGATGCAGGTTTTGTGTGTTTGTTGTTGGGCTTCTGTTGCAGCAGCAGGCGTGCTTTGCGCACATTTGTCCATGTTCACCATAGCACATCCTATCTTAGTGACGTGCTCTATCTTGTTGTTTTCCACAATTGGCTCTTGACAGCCCCTTAGAACGCGCTCATTCGCCAGCGAGGCTACATGCAGGGTAGGCGACAAGTCCTGCACTGAGGGGCAAATCATAAAAACATCCACGATCGAAGGCTGTATTCTTTTCTTTAAGGGTACCATCAGCGACCGCTGGCCTGGCTTGCAGGCACACCACCATAGCCATATCCCGGGTAAGTTGCCTCTCCAGACGCATCACGTCCCGGAAAAAAGGGAAGATTCTGAGGAAGGGACCGAGGGGGGCGTCTGGGCCGTCGCCGGAGCATACCCTGCAGAGTAGCCCGGCCTGAGAGTGAAGAGCGAGGGAAAATGCGATTGACGAGACGAGTCTTGTCGTAGACTCTTGAGCATTCAAAGAAGGCCCCGGCGGCTGTGCATAGGCGTAGCCTGCTGGCGGGTAGCCTGCTTGTTCTGGAAAGTGCGGTGTCCCAAACCGGCCAGCACGATAGGTGCGTTACAGTTAAAGGAGCTTTGTGAAACAAGAGCGAGCCCCAGCAAAGTCGAAGCAGCTCCCCAAGGAAGTTATCCGAGCGCTCTGCCTGCCGGATAACTCGGCGGATACCCGTACCTTGTTTCACGATGGGGAAAGTCAGCAGCAAGTCTCGACCGCAAACAAGCCGAATTCTAAGAAATGGTGGGTGTTGGAAGTGATCTCCGTGACGACTATCTATGCCAACAGGCTCAAAGACTTTGCACATCCGGCGATGGAAAAGCAAGCATCTGAAACGGTTCTCTTGAATGGGAGGAACTGTTGGATGCAGTGCTACCGTAAGCAGCAGCTTCTGAATGAAGACTTTGACGCGCACCAGTTCAGGGTTTATTTGAGGTGAGTCTTGCAATAAGATGGAGTGGACAAAACGGGAAAATATCCCAGCATGTCCTACAGCAATGCCATCAGTGACGCATCTGGTCTCACAAGATCTCATAAGCATCGCATGATTCTGCTCTTTCTGCTTGCAGGCCCCGCTACATGCTGAGCCCACCAGGCTCACGGTGAAGCCCGCGCGCTGCAGGCCGAAATGGCTGCGGAGGCCCTGGCCCTCGACACGCCACAGTCACTCAGTCTCTGCGTGTATGACGGTGTGTACGGTGTACAGCCAAGCAGGGCTCTGCGGCAGCACCTTCCAAAGGGCGCTCGGACTGCCTACGGACCCGCGGCTGGAAGGTTCCCGACTTTCCAGCCCAAGCGCATCCTCTTCGCAGACTTCGCAGACAACCGACAAGGCTTCTCAGCAAGCCGTGCCTCGGCAATTGCAGTGTGCCCTGTGGCCCTTGGAGTTGTGGGTCCTCAGCGCAGATGGAGGCTCTTCCCCTACCCCAGTCTTCCGTGGTCCCAAGTGCTGGGCGGTCGGAGAGTCCGCCTCAACGTTCACAAGTCTCCATGGCGTTCGGTCATGGCCCCCACTTGAGACTCCGGCTGGCTTGTTCACCGGAGTCCACGCGCCTGGCACTTCTGCCCAGGACACGGCCTAAGACACTGGTCTGTCTGAATCAACATGGCCTGGAAGCCCCAGCATCTGTCTCGGCTGGCGGTACTCCAGGGGTCGATCGTCCTGCACCTGGCAGTCTGACTGGCTGCTACAGGAAATACGAGAGGAGATTCTTTCAAGTGTCTGACTGCCTGCACCTATGGCGCCCAAAGGTGGCAGCTGCCCGCCCGGGCTTCGATTCGGAGACACCGGGGTGCGGGGAGATACACCAGCCTGCGGCAACAGGTACTTCTTTGGAATACTGCTGTCGATAGACTGCACAAGGGACAGGACCATTGTCTCTCGTTATCTTCGGCTCCCAAACATGCTCCAAAATATTCCAAATGCGAGGAAGACCCGAGAGTGGCTCCGACTCCGGTGCGCTTCGCGCACCGGAAACGGGCAAGGAACGCAAAAGGGGGCGGCGTCAGAAGCTTCCGAGTCACCAGCCCTCGAAGAGGCCCTGCAACAGAGAATTCCAAGCATTCGATGTGCTTTGTGCTGTGCGCTGCGTCAATCCGCCTCGCCCGCCACGTTCCTGCTGCGTAACATCGCTGGAACCTGAATCGAAGGGATGTTTTGCATGAACTGGTCCAGCATCCGAACTGTCGTGCTGCACCTTCTCACGCTCTGGCTCCTCCTTTGACGGCAGTTGGACCTCCAGGTCAGGAACGCCCGGTACAACTCTTGTGCGGTATCCAAGCATAGACAACCGTGGCCTCCTGACGTCCAGGGCCTGGTGGCAGTCGTGCAAAAGGCCATGAGCGCAGGCACAACCACACCAGCCGTGTCGGCAGCAAGATAACCTGGCCAGGCTCGCCGAGCATGCCCCGTATCGCCTGGCCCTCAAGGTGCTTCCTCGGCTGGCAGATCACAGTCGGATAGGTGCTGCCTTTGTGCAAGACATGTGGAAAAGAAAACTAGAAGACAATTGGCCCGAAAGCATCATCAGCGAAGAGTGTGGGGCTATGTGATAGATCCAGTGTGTAGGATCGTATGCAGATACAGTCAAGAGTCATGGAGTCCATGAGTCATGAGTCATAAAGTCATAGAGTTACAGTGAGATAGCGTCATAGTGCATATATATATATGTGTATATTATTCTTATCGATATATGCATTTGCCAATCCTGCCAATCCCTCTGAAAGGTTGCCAATTGACCTGTTGCACACCTACCGATTAGAACAATCGAAGAAGCAAATCCCTCTCAAGCCAATCCCTGTGAAGGGTTCCGCGAGCACCGCAAAATGTGCAACTTCACCTCGCGTTCGAGCACTCGACAACGCCAATCCGTGTGAAGGGTTGCAAAATTCATCTCAATGCACATCAGAAATTGCAACTTTACCTCGCGTTCGAACACTCGACCACGCCAATCCCTGTGAAGGGTTGCAAAATGCCAATCCCTGTGAAGGGTTGCAAAATGCAGTTGAGCTGCGCCCAAACCCTGTGAAGGGTTGCGCGGCGCCCGCAAAATGTGTAACTTTACCTCGCGTTTGAACACCCGAGGAGGCGAATCCCTGTGAAGGGTTCACGGCGCCCGAAAAATGTGTAACTTTACCTCGCGTTTGAACGCCCGAGGCAGCGAATCCCTGTGAAGGGTTCACGGCGCCCGAAAAATGTGTAACTTTACCTCGCGTTTGAACGCCCGAGGCAGCGAATCCCTGTGAAGGGTTGCACGGGCACCGCATTAAGTTAAAAAATGTGTAACTTTACCTAGCGTTTGGGCCCTCGCCCATGCCAATCCCTGTGAAGGGTTCACCCGGGCGCCTAAAATGTGTAACTTTACCTCGCGTTTGAACGCCCGAGGCAGCGAATCCCTGTGAAGGGTTCACCCGGGCGCCTAAAATGTGTAACTTTACCTCGCGTTTCAACGCCCGAGGCAGCGAATCCCTGTGAAGGGTTCACCCGGGCGCCTAAAATGTGTAACTTTACCTCGCGTTTGAATGCCCGAGGCAGCGAATCCCTGTGAAGGGTTCACCCGGGCGCCTAATAAGTTAAAAAATGTGTAACTTTACCTAGCGTTTGGGCCCTCGCCCATGCCAATCCCTGTGAAGGGTTCACCCGGGCGCCTAAAATGTGTAACTTTACCTCGCGTTTGAACGCCCGAGGAGGCGAATCCCTGGGAAGGGTTGCATTCCCGATGGACGACAATGGTGCCACCCCTGGCTTTAGAAGAGAGAATTAGATACCGAGATGTAGAGAGTAAGTCATAGAGGCATAGAGTCAAGTAAGTAAGTAAGTAGAAGTAAGTAAGTAAGTAAGTAAGTAAGTATAAGTAAGTATAGAGATAGCATAACATAGAGTCCAGTGTCAAGTGTCAAGTAAGTAAGTAAGTAGAGTGAAGTAAGTAAGTAGAGTGAAGTAAGTAAGTAAGTAAGTAAGTAAGTAAGTCGTAAGCATAACATAGAGTCAAGTATCAAGTGTAGAGTCAAGTCAAGTCAATCATAGAGTCAAGTGTCAAGTGTAGAGAGTCAGTCATAGAGGTCAAGTAAGTAAGTATCAAGTGTAGAGTCAAGTATCAAGTGTAGAGTAAAGTATGGAGTCAAGTAAGTTGATTCTATGTCTGTCATCTATGTACTCAGCTGCGGCGTTCCACACGGAAGAACCCTTCGCGATGCTTTCGGGAACTGGCATAAGTAGCCAATGCAAGTCTGCGGAGATCATGCGTGACACTGTCCTTCTCTTTGCAAAATTGTGGCACATGCTTCTCTTGGCTGATACACAAACTCAGGGTCCGGGTCTGGATGACATCACCGGCAAAGTCTTACTGACAAGCAGCCTGACTGGTTCTCAGAAACAGACTGCACACAAACAGGCTTACTGCTGTGCATGCACCTGTAAATTCCAATTCATTACACAGGCGCAGTGAAAGAGAGAGAGACAGAGAGAGAGAGAGAGACAGAGAGAGAGAGAGAGAGAAAGACGGACGGACGGACTTGCAGCCACTCCACTGTTCATTGGCAGATCCTTGCAGCAAGTGCCCGTAGTCCTGCAGCCGCAAGAGTTGAGGGTCAAGCAGACCGACCTCTTTTCGAAGCCCTTTCAACGTCCATGAAAACCGTCACTCCAACCCCCGCTCTGCAAGCTCGCAGTATGTTGCACTGCTGTGAAGTCGCTGTTCGGCTCTCTTTCTCCCGGCTCCTGCAAGCTCACCGGGGCGCGGGGGGGGGGCCTCCAGCTGAATACGGCCCCAGCGACCTGGCATCTGCTCGGCTTTCGGGTTTCGCGGCGTTGCGCCTGAGCTCAGAAATCGCCGTGCAGGCCGCGGTTGAAGTCATTGATCATCTTCCCGAGGAAGGGATCAGGATTCATGACCTGAGCAAGTTGCTCAGCTATCAGGAAGTTACTCCCAGGAAGCCGAGGCGTGTCTGCAGCCCGGTGGTGAGTCATTCTGCTATTGATGCAACATCTGCTGTGACGTTTTCGCTGTGTGGCCTTGATATGTGTTGATAAGAAGCCAGCAGAAACACACCAGACGCAGGAGAAAGAGCGCTCGAAGCTTTTCCAGCTACTCGAAAGGTGCTGCAGCCAGAAGGCAAGCTTTAACCACGCCAAGAAGCAGTAAAGAGAACCACGACAAGGACCCACCCACAACCACGACAAGGAACAAAGAATAACCGCGGCAAGGAAGAAACATCTTCCGCGACACGAAACCAAAACCTCCCTTCCCCCCAAAAAAACCGAGCGCTCACATCAGAAACGCACGCATAAACTGCAAAAGTAGATGCTCACCTCCGGCAACCACTGCTCCAGCCCAGCAGCCGCGCAACTTTTCTGGCGAGTTGCCACGAACTGTCTGGAATCGAGGCAGAGTCTCAAAACTCTCGAAAGCCTACTGTGAATGGTTGGGATCCTATTAAAAACAAATAAAAGGGAACTACAATGAACCCTAAACCCTGAACCCTAATAATGGAGACTACAGATCTCTTGATACGTTCCAGCGACGCAGCACCGCGTACACAACCATCTGCTCTTTTGCAGACGGCCAAGCTTAAAGACTTCTAGCTGCAGAGGACGGCGCGACAATTAAACGCACGCACAGCTTACGTCATTGCATTGGCAGTGCGAAGCCTGTGCACCAGATCTACTCGTCTTCCCTTGGCCGGAAGGCCCATCGACGCGAGCCTCACTCGTGCCTCCAAGGCCTGAGGATGCTCATGGAGACGTGACGATATGTCCAAGCAAAGAGCAGCTTCAGGCTTTGGCGCTGATGTTCTCCAGAGCGACAGCCCGCAGACTACGATCGACATGTTCTTCCTGTAAAGTTGTGCAATGATGTGGAATGACAAGAACGACAACACTCTCGAGCCATTCGTATCGGCCTGTCCCGCTCCAGGCTCGGCACAGTCTGCATGCCTTTCCTGCGAAGTTTTGGAATCAGAACACTCCATCACGTTGTGTAGCTGGCCTCGGCACTTTCGGCGAGCACAGCACGGTGCTCCTGAGATGCAAAGTCTCTGAAACGAGAGCAAACTCTAACGCCTCAAATCCCATGCGTGTCCTCTGGTGGCTCCAACAGCCTCTGGATCAGCTCAAGCTTGCTCCCCGTGAAGCTTTTGCCAAGCTTGAACAGGCGGACTCGGAGCTCCAGCACCTTGCAGCACCAGGCATCATGGTGTCGACGTGAAAATTGGATTGACAAGGCGGGCACTGTGAGTTGGCTCTCTGGCACATCCGGTAGCTGGGCCTGAAAACACCCCATGTCATGTTCATGTCAGAACAAAGTGTCACGAATCCACAATGGGCCTTTTGTGAGACCTTGCGAACAGCTTTCGCCTGAAACCGAAATGCAACTCTGCACGAGGATTCTTGGTGCGACTCATAGGGCCTACTACTATTATTATTATTATTATTATTACTACAGTACTACTGCTGCTGCTGCTACTACCACTATTGCTGCTACTGCTACTCCTACCATCACCTCAATCTTAAGACTGTGG